AAAGAAGGGGGAAAAAAAAAATATATATATATATATATGCACACACACACCAGATAGCTAAGATACTAATACTACTAATTTCTATTGGTTTATTGAAAGGAACAGTTAATATTTAACTGTTTGATCAATCTTCCATACCTATATGTGGTAATCCAAACACCTACTGTGAAAATAACAGTATGTAATACAACAACCATTGCTAATTTCCTATCATCTTGTTTTGAAATTACATATGTTTTTACTATTTTTGTGTTATTTTCTTTTTGCCTTTGTTTTTGTTCTTTTCTCTTAAAAAAAAAATCAAAATAGCCAAGATATGAAACTAGCCTAGATGGTATACATACATAATGGAATACTATTTAGCTAGGAAGAAAAACCAAATTATGTCATTTGCAGGATAATGGATGGAATTGGAGCTCATGTTAAACAAAAAAGCCAGACTCAAAAGACAATTATTGCATGTTTTCCTCATTCACGGAATCTGAGAAAGATGACTTGGAAGTAGAAGGCAGCCAGTAGACAAAAGGAAGGAAATAAAGGAGGGGAAGTATAAGGAAGGATAATAGCAGAGATGGATATGATAAAAACATTCATTTGTGAAAATATCACATTGAAACCCAGTATTTTATAAAATTAATAAGCACTAACAAAAATGTACTCAAAAATAAGGTTTTAAAAGAAAATTATGCAAATGTGACATAGTACATAAAACTCCATGAAGAGCTCAGAAGAATTATTAGTTACATTTTTAGTGCATTAGTTACATTAATAGCTGAAGCAGAGAACTAAGTACAATTTCACAATGAAAAGAATTAATAGTAAATAGTATGAGGATTTACAAGATAAACTTTTAACATCTTTTCAATCACGCAAGTAGTCATGACCACTTAAAATCATGGTAGTTCAGAGATGGGGAAAGAACCGTGGAAAAAATCCAGCTTTTCTCTTGCCCTATCCCATTCTCACCGCCATCCCACGTTGTATTGGCAGCTACTAAACTTCTCTGGGCTCACCTTAAATCTCTGCTCAGGGGACCTAACAGCCTCCTCAGCATATTCCAATTCAAACAGCCATTGCTTCATTCATTCAAGGAACATATGCTGCATTGAAGCAACATAAATCTCCTCTATACTAGGGTTCACCATATCTCTTTTTACTGGGCTAAAAATCTGATCCCCTTTTACCCACAGCATAGATCTACTCTCAGGACTTACAGAGGACAGTCAAGAGTACATCTCAATGGATGGGAGTTTTCTGTACCCCACTGAATTCTCTTTCTTCTACCTCAGCTTTTTCACATGAACTTCTACTGATGCTCCAAGACCCATCAGAGGAAGATACCGGTCTGCTCTCACTACTACAAGCACAGAGATTTTTGGCAATCTCAGATAACAATGTTTACACCTGTCTTTAGCTCACTGTTCACTCCTAGAAAGGGAACCATCTCTTACCACTGTCTAATAGGAAGCTACCCAGGTACTGAAACTCTCTGTATGAATGTAAGAGTGCTGTCTTGTGTTAAGATACGCATATAAAGAACTTATGAAGGTAAAAGTCTGCCTGGATCTGCGCCCTATTTGGAGAGAGGTCCCTACCAGTTTCATTACTTGAAGACGCTGCCACTTAACATGAGAGCCCTGGTAAGCATAAGTGTTGACCAAAACAGCGCGGCAATTAAACTCTTTAGCATGAAATGCTAAAATGGCATTCACTCAGCAAAGACAGTCCAAAAAGAATCTGAGAAATAAGGAGCCCAAAGTTGTAAAGTCTGGTGTGTCCTTTGAGGATACAACCTAGCTATAAATGCAGCAGACCCAGGAAAAACCAGAGTTCTGAGAACAGTCTCGGTATTATGGTAGCACCAGAAATCCTCTCTTAATCAGGTTGCTTTTATATTTCTTATATGCTCTTATGCTTCCTACTTTGATAGGAAATAATGTTTCAGGTTGTCCTAATTGTTCCACGGAAAACTTGAAAGCAAGCGTTTTTATCCACCCATACGCTTGATGGTTTGACTACTGTGATCCCATTATTAAGGCAGCAGGAGGGTGAAAGGGGTAATCCAAAAGAAAGTAAATTCCAGAGGACAAAAGGGGCTGTGGAATCCAGCCATTCTTCCCCATCTGAAAATTCTTCAATACTGCAACTTAAAGATAGTAATTCTTTTCTAAGTAAAAGTAATTCTAAATAATATTCTTCTAATACTTCCCTCCCTATAAGCATACTTAAAGGACTGTCATTTTCACTACTGTTATGTACATGTGTGACTGGAACACAAAAGAAATTCAAATGTTTGTTTTTGAAATGAATGAAACGATATATTGGCTTTCAGTTTTAAGGAACCTTAAAGTCACCTAGCACAAAACTTTTCCCACAGCCGTACAAACATTTGTTCAGAGAAGGCTTTCAGAGGGCATCAAAATACTCATTTAACAAATATCAGTTAAATGTCTGCAATAGTTAACATGATAGAAAAACAAACAAAAGAACTAGATCAGTCACTGATACAACAAATGTTTGCAGCGGGACTCCTACGTGCCAGGCACTATGACAGGACTTATAGACACTACAGACAATAAGACACATAGAGTTCCTATAGAGAACTTGCAGAAGATAAAACAGACATAGTGTCTACAATACTGTTTAGAATAAACAACATTAAATATTTTCAAAGGTACATATAAAGGTTGCTAGGAGTCTGAGGTATAAAAGAGAAACTAGGGTTTCATAAGAACTTACAGGACACTGCCATTCAGGTATAGGATATTATTTGTGACTTGACCTTATACTTCAGGAACAAAGGTTGATTAGTTACCAGCCGAAGCAGTTAATGGTAACAGTTTTGCAGGTTTTGATGAAAATCCATATCCTATCTTCATATCTTTAGCATTATATCAAGTAATATTAACACTGGATTTTGAAAAGCAAGAATACAAATCAATTCTTTCTTAATGTGAAAACCATAACCAAAACTAAGCTCTAAATTATAATTGTTGTCATGTTTCAGTACATGACCTGAAGTACAGACTTGTCATCTGAGTAAAAACATATGGAAAGAATAATCTTAATTTCTGTCTGGGCTTTATGGAGCAGTAACTCTATGATAAAATAATTTCTATTTTACACTGCACTAGGAAAATGAAAATAAAGCTAAATACGGTGTTTCTTTTGTTCTACGATCAAATGAGATTATCTTCAATTTCTTTTCTATATACAATTTTAGCTCCAAACAATGGGAAACAGAGCTGTCTCCTTCAAGATAAATGCACTGAAATGGAAAGTAGAAGTTTCAAAACTGCTACAGGATTATATGCCTGTAATCCCAGCACTTGGGAGGCTGAGGGAGGAGGATCGCTGTGAGCTACAGGTCAGCCAAGGCTACAAAATGAGTTCAAGAGCAGCTTGAACTGCAGAGGTAAATCCTTTCTCAAAAAGACCAAAAAAAAAAAAAAAAAGAAGTTTCAAAACTAGTATTAAAGGAGTTTCTCCTTCTTTTGATTCATTGAATTTATCAATTTCCTGGTTCTGAATTGATCACTTTCATCTCCAGTAGTTAGAGTGGGAATGTGATACACCTATCAATATGTTCCTTCAATGTATTTTACTGAATGCAGCCCATAAAAATAACTCTGTGACAAAGAATTTCCAGGACCTCTACATAGGATTTTGCCACTATGGAAAAATTACTGTCATAAGACTTCTTTGTGAATTTCAAAAGGCTCCTGACCATATATTCCACTTCAGCCATATTTTTTCTGTTCACTGCAGACTGACTGCCAATAGTGTATGTTTACAATGTTTTCTATTGGATCTGCATGGGAAATGATCTGGAGCCATCTGTATCCAATACCGTGTACAAAGAAACGTAATACACATGTGTAATATACTCATCCTAGATACACTGGAAGAACCTATCATATGAATTAATCTACCAAACAAAAATTTTGAGGTCACATTATGGACAAAATCTGACACGACCATAAAAGCAGTGACACTTTGCTAACTTCTGCAATTTTAGGAGTCACTGTGGAAGAAAATGCTCTACCCCTGCATGCTTTGTACTTAAACAGTAGTTAAAAAAAAAAAAAAAAACCTGCCTACTCTTTAAGGTAAACATCCCCTGTCATACAGTAGTACTTTTTCAACAATTGTTTACAGATACTATCAAACGAACAACTCCACACACATTATAATAACTAAGCAGCATTCCTCTGGAAATTACCTTCGTCAGCCTTATTTCTGCATATTAAAGGGTTGAAAGCTAAAATGAAAAAGCAATGCAAGGGAGACTATCAAAAATTAAAAAAAAAAAACTAGCTTCACTTCTGCAAATTAAGCAAAATTAAGCAAAAAGAAAGGAAGCAAGCAAAGGGAAGGAACTCAAACAGCTATCTGCAGCAGTGGGACCTTCCAAGTTCTCAGGAGCTCCTCGAGCTCGAAGAGATAAAGAGAAAAAAGAGAAGGTACCACACCGAAGCCCGAAGTTACTCACTCTCCACAACTTGGAGTATTCTCCAAACTCAAAGTAAGACATCCGAAACATACGGATTAGGTAGGAATGTCTGGAAGAAGGCAGTGGCATTTGTTTTCTCAGCTTGGGGACCTAAAAACTGTACCAGACAGGGCTCCGAAGTGCTTAGTTATCTTGCAGAGGCACTAGGAGCATCTTCTCTACGCACACACCTGCTGGGCCGGGCGGCTCCTCCCGCTCGGTCCCCAGGGATGACCGAGGTCCGGCGCCCCCCGCACGCACAGTTAGCCCGAGGGACACCCCAGCTCGCGGGCGCCACACGGCCGCAGACGGGCCGGAGCGCCCGCCAGGTTCCGGCTCGGCTTTCCGGAGCCCGCGGCGGGGCCGGCGCTCGGCAGGACGCGGCACTACCGGGATGCGCATTTTAATGAACTTGGAGCAGCGCGTCCGCAGCGCGCGGACCGGAGACGCGCGCGGGGGACCGCCGGCCCGTCCCGCCTCCCTCGCGGCCGAGGGGCGCAGTTCGTACCTGTCCTCTGACACGCTGATGACGCCCTCCTCTTTGGGCACGATCACGGCCATGTTCACCACCTCCTGGGACCCCTCGACCCGCTGCAGCAGGATGGGCTTGCGGGTCAGCGGCTTGGGCTGGATCTCCGCCGCCATCGGAGGAGGGGGCGCGCCGGGGGCGCCGCGGCCAACAGCGCCGCGGGGCCGGGCAGACGAGACCGCTCGAGCACGAGCAGACAGGAGCGCTGGCTGGCCGGAGCGGGACGCCGGGGACCGGCGATCATAGCCTAGCTACCTCTCCGGGGAACGACTCCTCGCTCCCGGCTTCGAGTACCAAAACCGCCACCACCCGAGCTGCAATCGGGCGCCGCAGGCCGAGGAGGGGGCGGAGAGCTGGGGGGCGTGGCCGGGGGCGGGGCCTGCCGCAGGCTGGCCGCTGGTGGGCGCGAGGGCGGCTCCACTTCCGGCAGTGCGATGAGAAGGAGGGAAAACCTGAAGCAGGAGGCGGTGCGCTGGTGGTCAATACGCCTGCGTCAGCCCAGCAATCCATTTCCGCCCCGCCCCTCCGCGAATGTCGGAGCCCCGCAGCACAGCTAACGCGCATGCGCTTTCCTGTTTTCCACACCCAAGGTTTCATCTCCTCCCTCTTAAAATCACTCTGGAACGCTCTGTACGCTTCTCTGGGAACGCGCTTGAGAGGCTCCGCCCCCTCCAAATTCTCTGAAAAGGGTGCGGAGGTGGGGCGGGTAAAGCACGCCGGAAAAACGAGAGGCTTACGGGAAGGAAAGAAGCTGAGCTAGTTGGGATGCGACCGAGCATGCGCACGATCTTGACAATGAACTGTCCCGGGGGAGGGGGGAGCGGTTGGGGCTTGCTGTTCCCAGCAGGCCCGGGGCTAGGACACCGAGTGGACCCCCACTGGCTTCTGGTAGTTGTAGTTTGTTAGCGTCGCCTCTTCCTTGACCTGGAGTGACCTATCACTCTCTTCTCTGTGCTCCGGGCCTGGAGAGCACAGAGGCTCTGTAGCCGTTGACATCCAAGGCTAGGAGCCCAAGGGCAGGCTTGCCTAAGCAAGGGCATCCTCGCTGCCCTTTGTCAGGCTACTGCCTGACGTAGTTTGGTGCAGAGAATCTCGTGCAAGCATTTGTGAGGGAACTTAGAGATCACTTGCAGTATCAATCTTTTTATTAGATGATTAAATGGCTAGCCCAGGGCCCAAGTCAGTGTTAAAATTCCCATCCCAGGACTTGAACCCACGCCTTGCTTGCTCCTAGTTTTGTCCTCTGGCTTTCTTCTAGGACAAAGGATGTTTACTGTGTCTACAGTAGGTACAGTACATATGTACAGGATAAGAATGGCTATAACACATTTTAAAGATAGATAATGTTGGTAAGGATGTGGAGAAATTGGAATTCACTTCTATATTGCAGTTGGGAACATAAAATGGGGCAGCCTCTTTGGAAAACAATCTGGCATTTCTTCAACAGGTACAACAATGTTAACATATAATCTAGTAATTCCATTTTTAGATATATACCCAAGAAAAATGAAAATTTAGATTCATACCAAAACCTGAGCATTAGCCTGGTGTGGTAGCGCATGCCTGTAATCCCAGCACTCAGGAGACTGAAGCAGGAGAATCGTTGCCAGTTTGAGACCAGCCTGGGCTACAAAGTGAGCTCAAGGCCAACCTGAACTGCACAGGAGACCTTGTCTCAAAAAAAACCCCAAAAACCCTGAGCATCAATGTGCACAGAAGCATTATTAATAGTACCCAAATGTTTATCAATTGATAAGTTGTAGTATATCCATACAACAGGATATTATTTGCAATGAAAAGAAATATTAATACATGCTATACATGGATGAATTTTGAAAACAATGTGCGAAATAAGATAAGCCAGTCTTAAAAGACCACAAATTGTAAGATTCCATTTATATGAAATATCCAGAACCTATAGAGACAGAAATCAGATTGGTGAGGGTTGAGAATCATGGCTATGGGGTACCAGGTTTTTTTTTTATTTCAGGAATGATAAAAATGTTCTAAAGTTGTTTGTTGTATCAGATGTTGCACAACTCTGTGAATACAATAAGAGACATTAGTTGCAAACTTTTAAATGGTGAAAGCTATGCTATGTGAATTATAATGTCTATTATCCAAAACTATTTTTGATGATTGGCTGACAAATTTTATTAGGTCTCTATCAATTTAATTGTAAATCACTTGACTTTTTTCCATAGTCACTGAAGTAAGTTATTTCTCAATTTCTGAGAAGTATACAAAATGATATCACTATTATTTTTACTGTTATTACTTTGCTTAACCTTACATGCTAAGGTAAAAGTAGGGAAATTTATAAATTCAAATAAGTGGATAAATTTTCCAAGATAATTTTTTATAAATTACTTTATCACATATATCCAAATATTAGATCTGTAAATTTTTATGGAACTTAATTATCAAAATCCTATTGTCAAAACAACCAAGCAAATCATACTTAATTTGTCAGAACAGTTATGACTTAGTTTTTCCATTCAAATAAATTTAAATATACATTCAGAAATTTTGTAAAAATATAACGGAATGCATCTTTTAAGACAATTATTAAATGTCAAGATTTCAATGATGTAGATCTGATACAATTAATCAGTTTAATAATGTCTTATGATAAATAGAAGTCTAATATGCTTTTCCTATTATATAATGTAATGTAATGTGTAGCTTGAGTAATAAGTTTGTGTGAAACAAGAAAATAGTAAGAGCTATGATATTCTTTCAATAATTGTGTGTTGAACTCGTGTTGAACTTTTGAGGATAGGAATTAAATATAAAATCATAAATGATTTCATTAGTTTGGTAAAAAAATTATAATAAAAATTTATATATATGTAATGAAAGAGAAAGACGCATACTCTTTAAATGTGACTAGTCTGGTGAACTGGGGTGTCAGTGGTTAAGCACAGGCCTTGTATGTAAGGTCCTTGGTTCAATCCCCAGTGCCACACACAAATATTTATTAGTCTGAGATTAGTATAATTATATAATTGTATTAAGAAGTTGAATCATTTTATAAAATAAGATGATCATTATCAAATAAATCTCATGTGATTTGATATTTGATAAATAAGTTCTAATCGCCTTGTTGCATAATAGTAACTGAGTGTGAAAAAAGATCCAAAGCAGAGTTACACAGGCCACAGATTGGAGACTTCTTATCGAGGAAACAAAATGGAGAGGAGGCTGCCACTCGCACAGTAGATGGAGCTTTTAGGTAGAAGAAGGATTAAGGAGATTATTCTTAATAATTGGACTAGAGTGACTTCTCTTAAATCAACTAACTCCCCATCCTCTGAAGGCTAATTAGAGAAGAGTATGAGCCTGGGAAAAGAAGGCTCACGACAGGCTGCAAAGCCCTTTTGGGGTAGTAAACACCAAGCATTTTTCTGACACATCCTCAGCAATGTAGACTGGTACTAGAAGCCCATTATTCTGTATAACATAGAATGGGGGGGAATGAGGGATCCTGGCCTCATCAGAGGAAACCCACACAGACTGGGGGGAATCTAGGAACCAACAGTTCTGTGACGTGCAGACAGGTGGTCGGTCAGTCAGCAACACGACTGCCTGGCAGCTATCCATAAACCTCTAGGTTGAGGTTCAAGAGCAAGTTTGAGATCCATGATGGCAGCTTAGGAGAGCAATGCAGGACCTATAGGTGGAGGAGCTGGTGTTCTGAGCAGGAGGCCTAGGCAAGATCTGAGGAGTCAGGACTAGCGAACAAGGTAGGAGAAGAGCTCTTAACAAGGTGTCCTGAAACAAATCATTTAATCTTTGGGAGCCCCCTTCTTCATTCATAACATGTAGGTAATTGTGGCACCAATCTTACAGAGTCATTCATTGTTTTGAACTTGGGTGAGTTTTCTTGGTGCCTCCCAGGCACACTCACAGAGTCCTTACAGGAAAAAACTAATGGTCCCGTGGCATATAACTACTCTGATGAATAATATTTCTCCAGAAGAATATCTTTTAGTTATGGCCAAGTGCACTAGAAGACGCCCTTCTGTCTTGACTTCCTCTTCCTTTCCCATTCCCTTCCCGGCAGCAACCATGTGGGCTCCCTCAGCAAGAAGGTTTTGTGGTTTTGAAGCCTACCTTAACACCAGAATGCCCAGGAACTTTGGAAAATGCAGATTTCTGAATCCTGTGCCTGAACCACTAAATCTGGTTTTCTAGGAGCGTGGCTCCAGAATCTGAACTTTTTTTTTCATTAGTGTATATTAGTTATACAGAATAATGGCGTTCATCTTGATATATTGGTACCTGCATATAACATACTTTGATGATTTTCACTCCCCTATTACCTTTCTTCCCTTTCCATCCCCTCTCCAGAAAAATCTGAACATTTTATAAAGTATTTCCAAGAGATTTTTATTGCAAGTGACCTTTCTTACCTAGTCTAACCTGAGAACCGTAGCCCTGATAATCTAATGAAGGATCCAGCAAGAATGACCAGCAAAAGGGAGGGCAAGGCTTCCACTCTCAGGGCATTTCCCTCATTCTCTTGTCTTTCCCACTTTGGAAACAGGCCAGGCTGCTTGCTGTTCCACTGTGTTAGCAATTGTTTCTAAGCAGACCAGGGTCTCTTTTTCTGAGTAACAGAGCATGGCTTGTAGCTTTTCTTCCTGTGCTTCCAGGACAGGGTTTTTACTAGGTTTTTGCATCAAACTTCCTCTCTACTTCCTTAGCTCTAACCCCAGCCAGTGTATGGAACAATACATCTCCATACACACAAAGAGCTGAAGTAAGGCCTATCTATCTATATTTTAATGGACTTTATTGTTCCTAGAGCAGGTTCACAGCAAAGTTGAGCATAATTCAGAGAATTCCCATGTATTTCCTGACTCTGCACATAAACACCCTCCCCTCTACCCATATCTCCCACCAGAACAGTGCATTTGTGAAAATTAGTGACTCTAGGGCTGGGGATTTAGCTCAGCAGCACAGTGCCTGCCTGGCAAGTGTGACGTTGTGAGTTTGATTCCCAGTACCAGGGGGAAAAAAAAAAAGAATTACTTCTTGGTGGTATACACACTGTAGGTTGGGACAAACGTATAATAATGTGTGTCCACCATTGCAGTATTTCACAGAACGGTTTTATTGTCCTGAAATTCCTCTGTGTGTCACCTTTTCATCCTCCTTTCCACCTCAATCTCTCTAAACTACTGATATTTCCACTGTCTCCATAGTTTTCTATTCTTTTCTCAAAATGCCTCATAGTTGAAATTACAGTACATAGGCTTCCAGATTGGCTTCTTTTGTTTAGTAATATGCATTTAAGGTTCATCCATGTTTTTTTCATGTCC